GTAAGGTTAGGTTGTTGAAATCGACAAAAACATGTGTATTATCTCTTAAAGAATGTGTATTATTCTTTTCAGTATATTATGTGCAGTAATTTATTGTATGTTCAATATTTTATTATCAAAATTGTTATATTATTGATGTGGTCCCTCTATATTTTCTTCTATGTGTATATTATAGATATTTCAATACGGAGGACCACGAAAAGCCTATTTCAGGTTAATATTAGTGTGAATTAGGTATTGATTGTGAATCCGATAGTGATAAAAGTTTAAATTATGGTTCAAATGCTAGTGAATATGATTTTGAAGAATTATAGTTACTTAGGATGCAAAAAAGGTAAAGAAGTTAATGATAAGCTTACTCACTACAAAGAGCTTGATAAGTATATGACATTTAAAGATTTGGATGAGGCCAGGAAAATTATGAACTTCTATGCTATTGCAAATTACAAACCTCTGAAGCTTAGAAAAAATGATAAAATAAGAGTAAGGTATAAATGTGTAGCAGGCTGCCCATTTGTATGCCTCATCGCTGAAGATAAGAATGGTTCTGACTTTAAGATAAAAATATTATAGACAAAGCACAACTGTGAAAATGCATTTGACAATCCTATATCCAAAACAAAAAATTTAGCTCAATATTTCAGGAGTAAGGTGCAGAATAACCCCAAGTATAAGATAAAGGATATGAAACTAGATTTGAAAAATCAACTTTCATTGAATGTACATAACTCCACATTGAAAAAGGTTAAGATAATGGCACTTCAGCAATTGCAAGAATTTTTTTAAATGACTACAACATATTAGAAGCATATGTAAATGAGATTAGGGAGAGCAATCCTGGCAGTGATGTGATTATCAATTTATCAAAAGATGCCATGGCTGTAGTTAGGGTTCAAACAAAGGCTAAAACCATTCATTGGACTAGATGAGACTTTCCTAAAGAGTCATTGCAAGTGGAAACTATTGGTGGCTGTTGCACAAGATTGTATGGATCATTTCTATCCCTTGGCTGGGTTGTAGTTTACAAGGAAAATACCTTGACATGGACATAGTTTTTGGAGCTGCTGAAACACTCACTGAATCTGAAATATGGAACCAGTATTACCTTTATGTCTGATATGCAAAAGGTATAAGTTATGATTTTGTTTAATTGACTATTTAGTTATTTTTATCATTATTATATGGTTAACTCTGTTTAAATTTACATGCCATGGTATGCTGGAAGTTGTAAAAACTATCCTCCTTCTCTCAAATCACAGGTTCTGTGTGAGGCATATTGAAGCCAACTGAAGTAAGAGGATCAGAATTTCAGGAGAGATAAAGAAATACCTATGGTGATCTGCTTGGAGCACTTATAAGGAGAAATTTAAAGATCAACTAAAGAATCTTGATTAATTGTATGATGTTGTCGCCAATGAGTTGCTTAGGTATCCACCACATAATTGGTGCATATCATACTTTGATACATTGTGCAAAAATCAGATGGTGGACAACAATTTTACAGAGTTCTTCAACTCTTGGATCTTAGAAGCAAGATGCAAGCCTATTCTGAAGATGCTTGAGGATATTAGAATCAAGATCATGAACAAATTGAGAGAGAAGGAAGAAGAAGCTAGAACATGGGGAGGTGAGTTCAGTCCTAATTGCATGAAGTTGTATGTTGCTTATTTGAAGGTTGCCAACTTATGTACTGTTCATTTCAATGGTGAAACTGGCTATGAGATTTCTGAGGGTGATGATAGACATAGAGTGAACCTAGTGGAGAAAAAATGCACTATAGATCCTGGCAAGTTGACTGACATCCCATGTCCCCATGTCATGAGGGCACTAAAATACAAGAGAGAGGATCAATGACTGAAATTAGTTGGTGGTACGACAAGGAAGCTTACTTGATGACATATAGGGCCAAGTTAATATATGGAGAATGATAAGGCTAACAAGAGACAAGGAGAGTGGGATGCATCAATAAGGGGAACTAGAATGACATGCAGTATTTGTAGTGAACTGGACCACAATTAAAGGACATGCAAGGTACCTGCTTCTTAACTTATCTTTCTTCTTATATAATAGCAATTCTTTAACAAAAAGTTTTTCTTTTAATTATAGGTTAGTGCTGAAGGAAATGTTGAGGATGTTAGCTGTTCAGCCCCTCAACCAACACAAGAAGGTGAACATGAAAGTGAATTTGTGTTCATGCCTACAACTAGAGTACCAAGATACCAAACAGAACCTTTGGTGATGGTAATGATCATGAAAGTGTCCATGCTTTAATGTCTAAGATTATTTCTGAAGATCAAACAAGATTGCTGATGAGGCAGAATCAATTGATGCCAGCTAGGACAAGAGCGATCTCTTTCAGAGGATATCATACTGGTGTCAGTTATCCCACTGATCTTCCTTACTCACTTGCTAAGCTCACTTGAAAAGATAAATAAGTAATGACTGAAAATCAACTGGAAGTGGCAAGACAAAAGCAAGTGGGAAGTTGAAGAGCAGGAAACTCAATGGGAACTCACAAATCTAGGGATCTTGGTTGTTGTAGGTAGTTATAGGTCTTTAACTTTGTTGCCAGATATTTATTTCCAACAACCAAATCTGGTTAGTTTATCTTGGTTGTTGGAAATTAAAATATTGGTTTTTGTCAATTAACGTGTTCTGGCAAGACGTGTTTAATGTGTTTTGGTGTAGTTACTGCAAACTCTATGATAGCGGCATCAAGTTTAGTTTTTAAATCTTTGATCACCATCACCGCTCGACGAGGGAGCTCTTCGCCAATCCATTCAAAAAACCCGCAAGAACTAACCTGTATCATATTAGAATTTTCAGTGAAAAAAGTAGTCATTTTTTCTACATAAACATTAATAATCAAGAACCATCTCAAATAAAAACTTTGCAAATCATAACATAACCCAAAAAAAGATGATGAATTGGATAAATTGACCTAAAACGAAATAAGTTCAAAACTAACTTTGGATCTTGAACATTTGTAGAACCTTCTCCCAGCGTTGGCGTCTTATTTTATGCTGTTGTCATCCTGGATTCCAACAACTGAAGAGTTCAAGCATTACTTATTGTAAAGGGGCAACGTTTGACTAGTTGAAACTGAATGTGTAAGCTATAATGTGTTTTGTTAAATTATTATGTTAAAATATACTTGACCCATTCAATCAAATTAAAAAAGAAAAAAAAAAAAAAGAAACATTTGACTGGCCCATTCTCTTTGATGAACAAAGTTTAGAGTTAAATACGACATGCGTCTAACTCGATAACAACCATTGGATTTTGTTTTAATTTATACAGTGGCAACTAACATTTTCACCAAAAATTTAATTATGCAAATACCATTGTACCTGGATTCGGTGTACGAGAATGAATTAGGGAATTATATCATGGATTTTATTAATGCGATCGAGCTGTTTTTTGCTTTTATATTTTAATTTCTTTTTGTTTTTGTATTTATTTTTTACGAGGCAAAGGAAATTTTATTGGCTTCCTGGTATTCTATAAAAGCAGTGGCAAAACCAGAAATTTCTCCAAGGGTGTTCCAATTTGAAAAAAGTAAAAAAAAATTATATGTTATACACCTCTAAAACCTAATATTTTATCTGTATACACAATGTAATTTTTCGACGAATGGTGATTAATTGACCAGTACTCCTCGGACAATGTGGCTTCGCCCCTGTATGAAAGTAGAGGAGCATATAAGTCGAATTGACTAACTAAACACAATTTTTCTCTTCTTTCACTATTTTTTGAGTTGACTTGCACCTAAAAAGTAAACAAAAAGTAAAGAGCGTTCAAATCTTGTTGGTTGAGTTTGAGTATGAATGCAATCTCCAAATGGTTGTCAACCTTGGTACATGCGGTCAAAGAAGATTAAATTAATAACTAATTTAGTATACAAATCCAAGACGTAATATTCAATATTCCTTGAAATGATTAAAAAAATACAGTACGAGACATATTTTTTATTCAACGAAATAGTTGCTTCATGACTCCAAGAGGCTCAGGACAAAGTCAAATTCTTGAAAGTAAAAGAAAAATGTGTTTATCAAATGTTTGTAGGAGCAATAAATGATTTAAAAAAAAAAAAACACTCAAATATAGTAGAGCAAAGTCATCTAAAGGGAGTGGAAATGATTGATGATAGCTAATCAAAGGACTTGGAAATTTGAGTACAACTTAATTATTAGTGAAGGAAATTGAAAAAGTAAAAACTTGGAGAAGGTGATATCTGGAATTTTGAAATTCATCAAGTAATTAACATGTCAAGTCCACTTTGGTTAACATATGTAGTTTTGGGTAGATAAAATAATTCAATTATATGTGTCCATTAATCAAAATTCCATATTCCATTTGTTATTTTAATTTATTGTAAATGCTACCTAAGTTTATTTGTGTCGTATCCATATTTGCTGGCTTATTTTTTTTCTATAAGAGGGAGAGACGTAAAGAAAGGGACAAAAGCAAATTGAAAGAGTCCACGAGGGAGATATTGAGGATCCCTGAATCAAACGTTAAAAATTCCAGCATTTATGTCTCTGTCGCAAGGGCAGTCCGGTGTACTAAGCTCCCGCTATGTGCAAGGTGCGGGGAGGGTTGGACCACAAGGGTATATCGTATGCAGTCTTATCCTACATTTCTACAAGAGGTCGTTTCCACGGCTCGAACCCGTAACCTCCCGGTCACATGACAACAACTTTACCAGTTACGCCAAGGCTCCCATTCATGTCTATGTCTGCGGACTCTATTTATTAAGTGCCAATATAAAAAGACAATACTTCCGGGAATCTTGAAGCAATGATAAAATTATTTTTATGTGATCTATTTGTGACGGATTCGAGCCACGGAGACAATCAATAATGTTTACATTAGGGTAGGTTACGTATATCACACTCTTGAGGTACGACTACCGGCATGCCCTATTTATAAAAAGACGTCACCCGTTTTCTGGGGTAGGCACTTTCTCCTGAGTCGTCTCTTTTTTTTCACATAGACGGCCACAACCTTTAATAAGATACTACTGCTAGTACTTATAATTAGTACAAATGATACTATACTACTTCCCAAAAGTGATCCTTGAAAAGGAAAAAAATCATAACAACACGGAGAGAAATGGGGAACTGTTGGACACAATCTGTAGAAAATCATTCTAGCTCTGTCCAGCTTTCTAGCCCTCCAGCAGGTATAAATACATGTACCTACATTTTTGTTTTAATTTGCCCTTTTATTGTGTCTCATCAAATAAAGATGATATTCTTACTTAATTATAATATGTCTCAACGTACAGTAGTATGCAATAAGAAAACTGATACTCCTACCATGAGTAGCAGTAGCACGTCCAAAGATAATATCATCGGAAAACAAGAGGAAGCAGAGGCGACGAGTGGGAAGATAGTGAGTCCCAATTTGAAAGTGTTCAGTTTAGCGGAACTGAAGAGCGCGACGAGGAATTTTAGACCAGATACAGTGTTGGGGGAAGGAGGTTTTGATAGGGTTTTCAAAGGTTGGGTTGATAAGAAAACATTAGCTCCTTCTAGAGTTGGTGTTGGAATGGCTGTTGCTGTGAAAAAATCCAATCCTGATAGTCAGCAAGGTCTCAAGGAATGGCAGGTTAATTACTTTCTCTATTTTGGTGTTTCATAATCCCCCCGCGCTTCTTCTTCTTCTTCTTCTCCTCCTCCCAACTTTTTTGAGTCGAGGGTCTATTGGAAACATCCTCTCTATCTTCACTAGGTAGGTAGAGAGTAAGGTTTGGTTACACACTTCTTTTCCAGACCCCATATATAAAACTATACGGGGTATGTTGTTGTATTTTTTGGTGTTTCATCTCCATGCAATATTTCTGCTTCAAAAGCATCACTCTGTTCAATTTCCCTTCGTTTTATGGTGCTTGTACTTTATAGTACTCCACTTAGAGCCCGTTTGGACATAAGAATTTTTTTACTTTTTTCCGAAATTTTTTTACTTTTTTTTCGAAATCAATGTTTGGCCACAAAATTTTTAATTTTCACTTGAAGATGATTTTGGAATTTTTCGAAAATTTGAAAAACTCCAAAAAACTGTTTTTCAAAATCTTCACTCAGATCACCAACAAAACTTCAAAACAACCTAAAATTATATTCATGTCCAAACACAACTCTAATTTCAAATACCATTTTCACTTGAAATTTTTTTTCATTTTTTTGTTTGGAATTTTACAATTCTTACGTCCAAACGCCCACTTAGTATTTTTAAGAATTCAAAAGTTATATACATCAAACGAACTTTGATACTATTGTGTATTAGTATATAGAGGCAGAGTTAGGATTTGAACCTTATGAGTTCAGGATTATAATCTTTTTAAGTTCCTGGGTTTTAAATTAATAATTTATACAATATTCATTGAATTTCTTAATATAAATATAGGATTTGAACTGGGTTTGACTGAACACGCAACAAACATTGTGGCTCCGCCCCTATCAGTATAATTTAATATATTAGATCAAGTAATTACATTTTTCTCATGTTATTATATTTGATTAGTGTTGTGAAGAATTACCTGATGTTATAAATTTAACTTATATTCTGATGGTGTAAAAATTTATTCTATCGATGCACAAATCGTAATATCTTTTTCTAATTGTTCGTACTTGTTTGACCATGCTTTCAAAATCTTTGTTTATTTTGAATATTGCTTTTTAAAAAAAATACTTTTGAAGTATAATAATTTATGTTTGGCTAATCAATCAAAAAATACTTTTGCCAATAGCAATATGTGCTTGGGCAAGGTTTCAAAAGTGCTTTCGAGAAAAACTACTTTTTCGGCATCTGAAAAATAGTTTTTACTACTACTCAAAAATACTACTAGCTATCTTTTTTATAAAAGCTTGGCCAAACATTCCGCCTCTATAAAATAAGTACTTATTAAAAGAAAGTTTTGGCTACTCTTATACGTTTTGCCATGTCATTGCCTCATTAAAAACCATTATTTAATTTTAATTTTGTGATCCAAAAGCTTGGCCAAATTACATACTATATCATTGTTCAAATTTAGTAGTGCATTTAAGCGAATGCATGTAGTTCTGGATTATTATATGGCTGATTTATTCAAAGATCCACCTCCACATATATAAACTTTACGTAATTTCTATGATTATCATTAATCACTTTGGTCTTCTCTGACCGTTTCCTATGATTTTTTCAAAAGAAAATGACTAAAAGAGTGTGTGAGGTATATACTGCAGGCAGAAGTAAAGTTTTTGGGAAAATTTAGTCATCCAAATTTAGTAAAACTCATCGGATATTGCTGTGAAGAAAAGGAATTCCTTCTCGTATATGAACACATGCAGAAAGGAAGCTTAGAACGTCACCTTTTCAGAAGTAAGTTCTAAATTATTATTTCATATAAATCACAGAGTAAAAAATAAAAATAAAAATAAAATAGCTTGTCTTGATTATTTTTGGTTTATTAGAAGAGGGTGCAGAAACACTATTGTGGGACACACGTCTTAAAATAGTGATTGGAGCAGCTAGAGGTCTTACTTTCTTGCATACAACAGAGAAGCAAGTCATTTATCGTGATTTTAAAGCTTCCAACGTTTTACTAGATGAGGTAATTTCTCATCTTTTTTTCATTTTCCAATATATACTGATATTTCATTTTAGTACGTAACTAATTAATTAAATAAATATATATATGTATGCAAATTGTAAATTGTCTAAGACAGGACTACAATGCGAAGCTTTCTGATTTTGGATTGGCCAAGTTGGGTCCAGTAAATGGCAACTCGCATGTGAGCACTAGGGTCGTTGGCACTTATGGTTATGCAGCTCCTGAGTACGTGGCCAGTGGTAAGACATCATAACGTCAAATTTAACCCTAGTTTCTTTTGGATGACTGTGGTGTTCGGACTAGTTGTTACTCTCGACTAGGGGTAGCAAACGGGCGGATTGGGTCGGATATGTACGGGTTGAAAATGAGTAATATAAGTACGGATAAAATATGACTCATATTTAATGCGGATAGAATTACGAGTTAACCGGCGAATAATATGGATATCCAAATTATCCATGACTTCTTGAATATGGTTACTTTTGGGAGAATTCCTAGTGCCCCAAACTTGAGGAAGCCCCAATTTGAGTCTTTGCAAATGCAAGAGTTAAACTCATTAATTATCCATTCGTTATCTATGGTTCTTATCCATATTTGACCCATTTTTAAAAAGTTCACTATCCAACCTGTTTTTGGTAAATAATATGGATGGATAATTATTTTTCTTATCTGTTTTGCCACTCAGCGGGGAGGAGAAAGAAGAAGAGAAGTACCTTTTATAAATAAACAAAGAAGTACGTAGTAATTTATATCTTGATGCTACTGGTCGTAGTTTGAAAATTCAACATGACTGCTAATTAACACTCCAAAAAAATGGAAAGTTAACATTGAAACATTCGGCAATTTTGACTTATATATAACTATTCAAATATAATGATTTTGAGATGATTGGAAAATAAAGGAATTTGCTGACTTTTCTTTATTAATTAAAAACAAGTTCAATGCATTGATGTATGGATAAACTAGGGAGATGAATTAATATTATATGTAAATTAATAATGGCGTTACATTATACTAGGTTTCTAACGCGGAAGTCATCAATTTCTCATATTATATTCCTTCCCTCCCTCCCCCTCACCTCCGGTGGCGAAGCCAGGAATTTACTCAAGCGTGTTCAAATTTGAAAGAAGTGAAAAAATATTTCCGAGAAAGAGTGTTCAATATATGTTATATACCTCTAAAATCTAATATTTTACCTATATACGCATTGTAATTTTCCAACGAAGGGTGATCAGTTGACCACCCTTTATAGCATGTAACTTCGCCCATGCGCCCCCCCCCCCCCCCCACCAC